AGATGGCGGCATAGGTAAACATCTAAACTGCTGCTGTGCACAACAATTTCAAAACTACAACTAAAACAAAACGTCTATCACCCAGAACCATGGGAAAACTGGCTGGGTGGAAGTTCTAAAACTAGATGGAAAGAAAAAAGAACAATCAGGGCACAAACGCTGAAAAACTGAGGTATTGGGGTGTGTGCATGGTAGGGGCTGGCGGCGGATCCCAGCTGGAGGCAGGTGTTGCTTTCTTTGAAGAGAGACAAACTCCTGATCTCTCTGAAATCCAGTTTCTGGGGAGAAGCTGGACTGTCTGCCATCAGAGCTGAGCATAAGAACAATTGCTGTGCTGGGGTGTGAGATGCAGGGATGCAGTTGGAGAGGCAGAGATGGATCACTGCCAGCCATTGCTGTTTGCCATGCCCTCACCTAGTCCTGAGACTTGGCCTCGCACAATCTACAAACACACCCAAGCTCCAAGCAGCGGCTTTTGCATATGAATGGCCTTCTCTATTGCATTTTTTTTTTTAATATATTTTATTGATTTTGTACAGAGAGGAAGGGAGAGAGATAGAGAGTTAGAAACATCGATGAGGGAGAATCATCGATCAGCTGCCTCTTGCACACCCCCTACTGGGGATGTGCCTGCAACCAAGGTACATGCCCTTGACCGGAATCGAACCTGGGACCTTTCAGTCCCCAAGCCGACGCTCTATCCATTGAGCCAAACCGGTCTCGGCTCTATTGCATTTTAACCTAGAAAACTTGAAACCTGGCGCAGATAGCTCCAAAGCCTCCAAGCTCCTACAGGGAGGAGAGGACTGTGGTTCTTGCTGTAGCTCCTGCAGGGTGGCCTCAGACAGTAGCTGAACTGCACCCCATTGGAGATCCAGAAGCCAGATTTCAACTCCTCACATCCATAAGTGACACATTCGAGATGTGGACTCAGTGAGCACCAAAGCCCCACTGAAACAAGGCCTGCACCATAAGCGTGTCTCCAGCGCAGCAGTTCTTCCATTATAAACACAGTGGGTCCTCACAGCCAATTGGCCAGGAAGTCAATTCCCCCCCAGTGTACCAACACCAATCAAGGCTTAACTACACCAAGACTTTGCACTCAGCCCACAAAGGGGTGTACCAAGAGCGACCACCTCAGGTGATTAGGGAAACTGAGCTACTGGCCCCTTTAGGTCACTGACTCCATCAACACAGGGAGGCAGCCAAAATGCGGAGACACAGAAGCATGCCACTAATGGGAGAGATGGAGGAAAGTAAACTACTGGACGACACAGAGTTCAGAACCACATTTACAAGGTTACTCTAGAATCTCCTAAAAACCTCTGAGAAACTTGAAGAGACTTTCAAGGACCTTAATGAGAATACCTAGAAAATGGAAAAGGACCAGTCAGAAATTAAGCATACACTGTCTGAAATAAAGATATACAGAAACTCAACTGTAGATCAACTGTACCCCAAGAATCAAACTAAAGATCTGGAATATGAGGAAACAAAAAACACCCAACCAGAGAGGCAGAAAGAAAGAAAGAAAGAAAGAAGAATCCAAAAGTGTGAGGATAGTGTAAGGAGCCTCTGGGACGGCTTTAAGCGTACCAACATCCGGATTTTTGGGGTGCCAGAAAAAGAGAGAGACTAGGATATTGAAGGCCTACTGGAAGAAATAATGACAGAAAACTTTCCCTACCTGGTGAAAGAAATAGACTTATAAGTTAGGAAGTGCACAGAACCCCAAACAAAAGGAATCCAAAGAGGACCACACCAAGACACATCATAATTAAAATGCCAAGGGCAAAAGACAAAGAGAGAATCTTGAAAGCAGCAAGAGAAAAACAGTTAGTTACCTACAAGGGAGTACCCATACAACTTCCAGCTGATTTCTCAACAGAAACTATGCAGGCCAGAAGGGAGTGGCAAGAAATATTCAAAGTGATGAACAGCAAGAACCTATAACCTACCCAGCAAAGCTATCATTCAGAATTGAAGGTCAGACAGAGTTTCACAGACAAGAATAAGTTAAAGGAGTTCATCACCACCAAACCAGGATTACATGAAATGCTGAAGGGTATTCTCTAAGAAGAGGAAGAAGAAAAAGGTAAAGGTAAAAATTATGAACAACAAAAAGACATCAAATACATACCTACCAACAAGTGAATCTAAAAATCAAGAGAATAAAAAATGTGAATATAATGGAATTATAGAGACATAGAAAGGGAGGGGACTGACAATTCTCAGGGGGAAAGGGGTCTGAGGGGTGCAGGAAGATATTGGACAAAAATCTTACACCTATGGGTGAAGACAGTAGCGGGGGGTAAGAGCATGGGGTGGGGTGGGGGATCAGGTGGAGGGGAGCTATGGGGGGGGGGGGGGGAACACCTGTAATAATCTGAACAATAAATATTTATTATAAAGAAATAAAAAATAAATAAAAGTTCAATTCAACTATGCTTGTCGATGGCAGGTCTCAAATAAAGTGAAAAGTGGCTTCCTAATCAGTTACCATTACTCCCTGAATTCCTCCCTGCCTACCTTCTTCCTTAAGAAGAAGAAAAGCGCCGGGACCGGTTTGGCTCAATGGATAGAGCTTTGGCTTGGGGACTGAATGGTCCTGGGTTCGATTCCGGTCAGGGGCATGTACCTTGGTTGCGGGCATGTCCCCAGTGGGGGGTGTGCAAGAGGCAGCTGATCGATGACTCTCTCTCATTGATGTTTCTAGCTCTCTGTCTCTCTTCCTTCCTCTCTGTATAAAATCAATATATATTTTTTTTAAAAGAAGAAAAGCAAGAAACCACATATAAAGGGTACGTAGAAAACTTATTGATTATGTAAACTAACATTAAAAGAGCTATATTAACATTTAGACACTGTTCTCTGGGAATCTGTAGTTTGGGGAAAATGTTTCACTAACATTCAAGTAGTAGTTAAGTCTCAAAAATGAAACTACTGAAAAAAGCTTCATACTCATTGAGGGTGGGGAGATTTCTATACAGGAGCAAAGCTAAATTTTTAATAGCCAAAAGTGTATACAATTGAGCAGGTTTCAGTTAAAGCAATATTTTAATTAGTTTTAACTAGCAAAGGTCCTAAACTACCCTTTTAGAGTACCAAATTCAAAACAAATTAAAACTCTAAACCTTACCTTAACTCTCTAAACTTATGCTATCCAAAACAGTAATCACTTGCCACATGTGGTTAATTATTGCTTATGTGCAATGTGGGTAGCAACTCAAATTGCAGTAGGTTTAAAATGCATACAGGAGGACATAAAGATGGCCAAGAGACATGAAAACATGCTCACAGTCACTAATCATCCGAGAGATGCAAAACGACAGTGAGGTACCATCTCACACCTGTCAGAATGGCTATCATCAACAAAGGACAAGTGCTAGAGAGGATGTGGAGAAAAAGGAACCCTCGTGCACTGCTAGTGGGAATGCAGACTGGTGCAGCCACTATGAAGAACAGTATGGAGTTTCCTCAAAAAACTAAAAATGGAACTCACATTTGACCCAGAGATCCTACTTCTAGGACTATGTCCCAAGAAACTATAAACATTGACAATAAGAAAGGATATATGCACCCCTATGTTCATAGCAGCACAATTTTTAATAGCTAAGATTTGGAAATAGCCTAAGTGCCCATCAGCAGATGAGTAGGTTAAAAAACTGTGGTATATCTACCCAATGGAATACTAAGCTGCTGTAAAAAAGGAACTCTTACCATTTGCAACAGCATGGATGGAGCTGGTGAGCATTATGCTAAGCTAAATAAGCCAGTCAGAGAAATATATTATAAATATCACATGATCTCACTCATTTGTGGAATATAATGAACAACATAAACTGATGAACAAAAACAGATCCAGAGACAGAAGAATCAAACAGACCATCAAACCTCAGAGGGAAGGTAGGAGAGGATGAGGGTAAGGGAGAGAGATCAACCACAGGACTTGTATGCATGCATATAAGCCTAACCAATGGACACATATGTAATACCTTAATCAATAAAGAAAATAAAATGCATACAGGATTTCAAAGACTGGTACCAAAAAGAGAATGAAAAATAACTCACTGATAACTTTCACATTAATTACATGTTGAAATCTGTGTTTTGAAAACTGAATTAAATACAATATACTATTAAAGTTCATTTCACTTCATATTAATTACATGTTAAAATTTTTAACTGGGTTAAATAGAATATAATACTGATTTTACGGATTTTCTTTTTACTTTTTAAAAAAAATGTTTTTATTGATTTTAGAGAAGGGAGTAGAGAAACATCAATGAGAGAGAATCTTTAATCGGCTGCCTCTTGCACGCCCCCTACTGCAACCCCGGCAGATGCCCTGACCAGGAACCCAAGGGAACCGCCTGGTTCATGGGTCCACAGCGCTCAACCACTGAGCCATACCGGCGTGGCTCTTTTTACTATTTCGATGTGGCTCCTAGAAAATGCAGAATTAATGAGGCTAGCACTGTCTTCCCATTGGAGAGTGCGACTCTGGGCCTTCGTTACCTGGCTGGTGAAATGGGGATCACTCCCAACACAGGCAGAAGCTGTGAGGATTCAATGAAAAAGCCCGCAAACATGAGCATTTATTTGCTGCCAGCTGAGCAGAGGGCAGAGGCCCAGCCGGGAGCTTGCAAAGGGAGAGACCGAGACCGAGAGACTGAAGCCAAGTCACCTGCCTCCGGTCCCTAAGGCCACCGGTGGGGACACGCCCGCATTCTCTGGTCACCGACCTGAGGCTCGAATGTCACCCCTGGAAACGCGGGGCCGCTCCCCCCCGACCAAACCCCCGGCCCCCGGGCCTGAGGCGCAGCCAGCGGGAGGGTCCCTTCCTCCACGCCAGCGTTTTGGGGCCGAGGCGGGGATACCGAGGCGGCCTGCTCGGAGGAATGCCGGGCGGGCCAAAGGCAGCCGGCGGACCCGGCGGGGAGGAGGCCGTGCTCTCGGGACCTCGCCTCGGGCCGCCCCTCCCTCGGCGCCTCGCCCACCTGCCGCGCCGGGTCTCGGAAGGCCGCGGCGGCCGCCGCTCCCGAGGCTGCCACTGCCTCTCCCGCCTCCGCGCGGCTCCCGGGCTCCCGGTCCATCGTCGCCGCCGCCTCAGGGCCGCTGGCGCTGGCTAGGTAGAGCGTGACGGCCGATAAGCCCACTTCCATCCTCCGCCGCCCCGCCCAGCGGTGGAGGAGCCCGCGGCCGGGAACAGGGCCTCGCCTACGCGTCCGCCTGGCGCCACGCCCGCCTGACCGAGCGGGGGGCGGGGCCTGTGGACTCCGGCCGGCGGGGCGCGGCTGCCAGGCTCGGCCAGCGCGGCCAGCGAGGCCAACCACCGGCTCCGCGCGGCGGGCGGGGGCGGGGCTCCGCAGCCCCACTTCCGGCCCGCCCACTCGGCGCTCTCAGGGCCCCGCCCAGTGACGTCGCGCCTCGCCGCCTGCACCTGGAGCCGGGGTTGGGGGCTCTGCGCAGCCTCTCACCTGCACCCGGGGGAGCCGCCCTCCCAGGCTTTGGCCTCTGCGCCTGTGAAAGGACTGCAGCCGCTTAGTGGTCCTGAAAGGCTGGAGCTGAGATGTGGCTGCTGAAAAATATTTTTTAAATGTAAGGCGGCTCATGCTACATATTCCATCCCTAACCTGGATGACAAGTCTAGAAAGAAGAGCCTCGAGGGTGAATTTTACTCACACTTGTCTGAAATATTTAAAGGTAACTAGAACTAGACAAGTTAAGGGAGACCTGAAGAAAAGCAAAGGGCAACAACAAGCTTCCATTTTGACAGATGTTAACTGTGTGTGTGTGTGTGTGTGTGTTTGTGTGTGTAGACATCCTAGACTTTCCCCATTTTCTCAGTGTTCCACCAAATTAAAAAGTCACGATTGTAACGATTATTGCATTACTTAAACTAGTTAGGGGCATTTCCAGCTAAATGACTTTTTATTGTAATTTTAGTATGAAAGTTTTCACGAAAAGGTAAAAAAACAAACAAAAAAACATTATTTTGGCCAAGGAGAGTGTAGTAGGGAGTTCGTTTGGTATTTTAAATTGCATTTTTATGCCAGTAAAAATTCAGAAATGGTCCCCAAAGGTAAGGCCTAGGATATTTTTGTTCTGCAGCATGGCAAGAGCAGCCATAGGGCAGAACAGCCCTATAACCATAAATATTACTTTCTCTCCTGTGCAAAGTTTTTTTTTTTCTTAATCTCTGCTTAGTATTTCTGTACACCTTCCACCCTGCTATAACTATGATGATCTAAAAAAAAAAACAAAAAAAAAACAACAAAAAACAGCCAAAACCGGTTTAGCTCAGTGGATAGAGCGTTGGCCTGCAGACTGAAAGGTCCCAGGTTCGATTCTGGTCAGGGCATATACCTTGATGTACCTTGGTTGTGGGCACATCCCCAGTAGGAGGTGTGCAAGAGGCAGCTGATTGATGATTCTCTCATCGATGTTTCTAACTCTATCCCTCTCTCTTCCTCTCTGTAAAAAATCAATAAAGTATATTTTAAAAATAATAATTAAAAAACAAACCAAAAACCTTAAAAATAAAGTTGGTAATTTGAAAACCATACAAATTTTAAACAACGGTTGGAAATTCATCTGTATTTCAGTAATAAAATCAAATTAACTTGTTGCTGAGGTAAACACATTTTATTAACATGATCTGATGCTGTCTCGTGGCATTAGTCAGGGGTTGAGTCAGTCTGAAATGGCAAAAACAAACTGCAATAAATTGAAAAGAAAAATAGAGCCAATTGTTAAAGACTTCATGAATTGACTTTTATAAACAAGATAGCTCTACATACATCTATTCAAAATCTCATCCCTCTTAGTGGCAAGAAGAGAACAATCATTTAAAATTTGTGGAATGTTTATAAATGCATTATTTTATTTTACAAATTGGCAATTGAATTACAATTTTCACTGCTGAAGCAGAACTGACTTCCAGAGTTTATAAGTTTAATGAAAATTTTAAATGCAAGTCACATTCCAATGTGAACTGGAAGTACTTTCTTCTTTTTTTTAATATATATATTTTTTTATTTTTTACAGAGAGAAAGGGAGGATAGAGTTAGAAAGACCAATCAGCTGCCTCCTGCACACCTCCCACTGGGATGTGCCCACAACCAAGGTATATGCCCTTGACCAGAATCAAACCTGGGACCTTTCAGGCCCCAGGCCTATGCTCTATCCACTGAGACAAACCGGTCAGGGCTGGAAGTACTTTCTAAGAAGAGTTATCCTTAACACAAATATACAATTGAAGAGCAGTCTATTACAGCCAAAACCTATTTAGCTCAGTGGATAGAGCGTTGGCCTGCGGACTGGGGGATCCCAGGTTCGATTCCAGTCAAGGGCATGTACCTTGGTTTCGGACACATCCCCAGTGGGGGTTGTGCAGGAGGCAGCTGATCGATATTTCTAACTCTCTATCCCTCTCCCTTCCTCTCTGTAAAAAATCAATTATATGTATAAAAGAGCAGTCTATTACAAACAACTCGTGGCAACAGAAAAGCATAGAAGTTCCAATGGCTTTAGTTTGGGCATTTACATTTTTGGGATTATTTCCAGGCTCTTCCAGCTCAACTAAAAGTGGACAACAGAGCAACATGCCAAGTCTCTCCTTTGACTTTATGGTGTAAGTTACATCACTATGACAAAAAATAAAGTCAGGTATTACTCTAATTTATCTACTTGAAAACATGATTGTGGTCTAACTTTATCATTTAATGATGCATACAGAGCTAAATAGGTAAACTTGGATATATTTCTGTGAAAGGCTGGAAAATCAAAGCTGAATAAAATTCAATAACCAGGACCGTCCAAATTTTTTTTAAAAAAATGAGACTTTCTTGTGATTTTGACATAGTTACATACATATTTTAGTAGAGCTTATTTTTTAAGTTAATCCATCCCTCAAATAGGGAGATATATTTTCATCGTCATTGAATGACACAAAAATAAGGTGGTAAAAATGCACATTAAGTTGATTTTAAGCATAAAGACATTGTTGACAGTAGTGGCTTCATTTATGGAGCCCAGTATGCTAGGAACTATGATAAAAGCTTTCCTTGTATTAACTCTTCCTCACAACCCTGAGATATTATTATAATCACCAACATTTTAACACAGCTGATAGGTAAGCAGCAGAGCAAAGATTGAAACCCAGTCTAATTCCAGAGCCTATCCTCAGTGACGCTGCCCCTTTGAGAACAAATATGTCAGAAAATAGGCTAGTAGGAAGGCAGGAAATTCATAGAACAAAGGAACATGCTATATTTGGAAAGATTTGCATGGAAATTAGTAAAATGTGTACATTTTTAAAGTCTATTGTAAGCAATAGCCATTTATATGCTTTAAGTCCCCATCTGTAAGAAACCAATGAATACACCAAGTAAACTTGTTTTTTTGATGTTACATGAATACATTTATTTTAATTGAAATTTGGTCAGACTTGTTGTCATGAGAATATACTATTGATATTTAACTACCAGAATTCTGTATATGGCATTAAGTCATAAAATATTAGTTTCTTTGTACACAATGTCAAAACGCAGTAATTTCAAGGTTGAAGATCTATGTATCATAATCTGAAGTCTGTCGAGACCTAGAGATCTTTTGACAATAATCTAAAAAACAAGTATAAAGATTTAATAAGGATTCATACCAGTACGGATACCTTTCTTCTTGGGGCAAGATCATCCATTGTGTCTTTTAAAACAATAAGAAGGAAATTGCAGAAAATACACATCATCTGAAGGATTTCACACTCTCAGCATTTCCTATTAAATACAGTGTCAAGAAACAGGCTATTTCTTATACCATATCTGCCAGAAATGAAATCCTGAACCACTTAAATGATTTCCCAGTCAAAATTATCGGCCCATGAATATATCTAATAGCAACTCCTACTTCCTTTGCCACTGAGGAGCCAAATTCCCCAATTCTATTATGAAATGTAAAAATCAAGCAATCGTCCTATCTAATAAAGAGGGAATATGCTAATTGACCATCACGCCCTCACAAATATGGTGGCGTCCACAGCAAATAAGGTGGGAATATGCTAATTGACTGTCACGTCCTCAAAGATGGCAGCACCCACAGCTACAAGATGGTGTCGCCCAGTCCTCTCAGCCCTGCCAGGGCGGCAGGCACATGGCATGGCTGAGCCCGCCCCCAGGCTGGCCTGGCCTCTCTGCATGCCTGCCTCCAGAGTCCCCCAGTCCCCTAGCCACCCAGGGCCAGCCTGAAGTACAGGCAAGCCTCAGATGGTAGCTGCCCAGCCGCCAGGGCCACCCCCTCCAGTGCATGAATTTTCATGCACCAGGCCTCTAGTGATTTATAAACTATGCAGTTAGGCAGACATTACATGGTCTCCCTTGTTGCAGATATGGGAACTTTCTCTGGAAAGAGGCTTATAAAACTTTGCCATATGTTGTTTAGGAAAAATAGATCTCAGACACAGGATATTATTCCCTTCTGCTTTCCCTAAGTAGGAAAAACCTTTAGCAGCAGTGTCAGAAAACCCCAGGGCGGGGTTTTTCTAACTGTCAGCCTTGTCTGAATTATCCCTCGACACAGGTACTATTGTGTAGTTTATTGACTATTTTTCCATTTATGATGCAACTGCTACTGAGAAATACATTGTTTTAGGCCAGCTATTTTAAATGTTTTTCATCTGATGGCACACATAAACCAACTACTAAAATTCTGCGGCACACCAAAAAATATATATTTTGCAGATCTGTCAAAAAATTGTTATAATTTTAACAGATTTACAAAAAAAAAGTAATTACCTATCCTTTTTGCTTCAAAGTAACTTTTTAAAAAAATCATTGATGTTTCTAGCTTCTGTCCCTCTCCCTTTCTCTCTGTAAAAAATCAATAAAATATATTTTTAAAAAAACAAAACACCTTATTATGCAACGTGACTAATAGAGTCAACTCTATTATATGACCTATACAATTATGGTTTAAGATAGGCCCTTCACACTAGATGACTATTGTTGTGTTGGCTGTTGTCATTTTTTATTTGTCAGTCTAAGGGAAAAGAGGTCAGTGTACCTGACTAAGTAGTCAGGTATTACATATTTTCAAAATTCTTGTGACACACTGGTTGAAAATCACTGTTTAGGCTAATGAGAGAACCCATTAAACTAAGTGACGTTAAAGATATAGCATGCTGTTCAAATAATTTCAAATGAAAAGTACAGAGAGAATTGCAAACAGTAGGATAGGCATGCCAAATTAAAAAAATTTG